CCTAAGTTTCACGACATACAAAATTTCAGTATTTCAAGAACACATACATTCTAGTATGTGAAATATATAAATAGGAACGTATATTGACTATTTATGTCATAGATGATAACTTAGCGTTTTTATATATGCTAACTATATGAATGTTAGCAGCACAAAAGTTCCAAAATACACACATAACTGCTCCTTTACTAATGGGATTTATGCAAATCTGCCTTTTTTATGATGATCGTGGGACCAGTGTGGTTACGACACTCCAAAAGGTAGCATATATAAAAGATGAATGCAAGGAACGTGGGACCAAATATTCTTATTCTAATTCAAAACAAATATCACACAGTCAAATGTTTTACGCATCAAACCACTTGGGTTACGTGAATAGGACCCACATCAGAGATATACTTGATTCTTTTATTAAAAACGAAAAGTAAAGAAGGGAAAGATAAAGACGTTCGGTATCAATTTATAGATAAAAGATATTCCGCAAAAACGGCATCCGAAAACGAGGAGGGCAAATCCGTCTTTTCAAAAACAAGATGGAACTATTCAAGCTTAGAGCATCTTTTCCCTTGGTAAGGTCCATCACGACGAGCTGCATCACAAAGACTCGCATATAGAAACACAGTATATGAAAAAACATTTGTTTGAAAAAAAATCGCTAATTATCATGACTTTGAAACAAAATGCATCATCCATCTATTTTAATCAGTCACTACAAGTCACAAACACATAAAACACTTTAACGGACCAACAAATCAGTATACATAGAACGGATTTATCAATTAGCAAAACGGAAGGGTGTCAAATGGAAATTCAGATAAGACTGAACAAGACAAACTGAAAGTACAATCTTAACGAGAAAAGTTAAATTAAAATACAGATATTTTAGATATTATGCATCTTCTTAATTTGAATAGACGTTAGTTTGTATAGTGACTAGATGATCAAGTTGTGCGAATATATTGAATTCCGATCCACTACAATAATAAAAGAAAAGATATATGGGCGTGATAGAAAACAAAAGATCTTTAAACATGAAAAAAAAAAAAACAAAAGATACCGAAGAGGTTGACACAATGATTATTAGCTGGTCATCTACTGTCTTAGAAAACGAGAGTTTCCGAGTTCGACTCGATTGGATGCTAGCACGATATTATGGATCATAATAAATGCTATTGAATTGCCAAAAATCTCTCTCACACACACACACACACACATATATATATATATATATTCATATATCTATTGTTTATCTTTATACGAGAATTGAAGTCGAGACTCGTATTTATGGTGTTGAAATCTAAAAATACTTTTGTTTTATTAAACCGATAAATGTCTCAATGGTGGAGGTTCAAACGGGAATGTCATTGTATTACAAAAACGCAAGAACACCCTTAACACGTTTGATAATACACACGATGGGATTTGGTGGTATGCAGACGTCACGTCCTACGACCTAGGTCGCGTTAAAGGTCGTTTGTGCTCTAATTTAGTATTACATGTGATAAATTATAGTAAAACATCAAGAACACCCTTATCACATGTGATAAACACACGTGAGGGAGCCTAATAGTGTACAAAAACTTGACCCGCGACCTAGGTCGTGCCAAGGTCTCTGCGTCTCTGATTTAGGATCACATGTGTATCAAATGTGATGGAATATAGTATCACATACCATTGAATATTCTTGTAAAATGAATGTGTTATCATTTAAACCATTTCCATATCTGTACGTGTAAGTTAAATCAAAGTTAATGATATTAAAAACCTGAATTAACGAATAAGAAACATAAATATTAATTAAAATCATTAAAAATAAGATTTTAAGTTTTAAAAAATTATAATAAAAAGTAATGGTATAATCTTAGTAGTTTCTCTTTAGAATCGACAACCCTTACTTTCCACTAGAAGTGATCATTTGCGGGTCTGGGTTGGATCTTGGCCGGGCCTAACTTGTTTTTTTGTCCAACGGACCTAATATTGTAAACCCAAACCCCTTTTTTCGGGCTTCACAACTTGTCATTGCCCGCCATATAAAAGGGCCGGACTTGCCCACGGGTTAACGAGCCTAAAAAGTGTAACTCTTATAAATCTATAAACCTGACCACTAGCATTTCATTAACACATGTGGAATCAAAAAGTAAAGGAAAAACACAATTGCAATTAAAATTCTAAGCAACTAAAGTGACACATAGATCTCAACAAGTGGAGAAAGAAATGGAAAACAAATAACCCCTTAACCTCGTGGGTTCTCAAGAATAACCAAAGAATCTCATCTTATAACTTTCATAATTTAATTTTAAAATATACTAGTATAATACTTTTAATTAATAGTAAAAAAAATATTAATTATAAAATATAAAAAAACTGGACGGACTTGTCCATATTGCCCATGTTCACTCGTTAATTTTAACGAACAAACTCGAATCCATCCATTTTTTCAATAATAATTGTCCAAACTCATATTTGTAACGGGATAAATCAACTTGATCTAATAGGTCTCCTGCCATAAACGGCTCTATTTCCCACCACCACCAACTTTTGGCTTTATTTCACACAACAAAAACACAAAACGAATTTATTTATTATTTAAAAAAATATTAGTTAATATAATAGATTTTAGGGCTCCAAGCGAGATTCCGTGCATCTGCTTAATTTATTTTCTTAGATAGATTTTTTAACGATAAAATACGAAAGCTATAGTTGCTAGCTACATTTAATTTATTTAATCACAAGGGTGGTGTCTGATTGATTTGAGCTTGGTTCTAAGGGTCAAAAGTGCCAGAAGGTCTCAGGTTCAAATGCAAGGAGGAACAAAAATCCCCTAGTGGCCACGGAGGTTCAAATGCGGTGACTCCGGGATATTTGCAAAGCAGGTGGTCGTCCTGGGATTAGTCGGCTCGGATAGCGGGTTGGATATCCAGGTTAATAAAAAAAAAATTAATTTATTTTTGTAAATAGATTTTTCTTAGTATGAAATACGGAAGTTGTAGTTGTTAAATTTGAAGGGTGGTCCGGGATATTAGAAAATATAAGGAATTTCAACCAAAGAAACGAAAAAAGATCCTCAAAATTAACGAAAAGAAAAACTGAAAAAGTCTTTTGAAATCATCAAAAAATAAAAAAAGTTCATCGAAATCAATAAAAAGAACTTTAAATCCATCTAAATCAACTAAAAAACTTAAAAAATTCGTCGAAAAGGCGGTATTCAGCTAAAAACTCGTTACTTAACGCATAAGTATATTAAATTAAATATTTTTTGAATTATTCATTAATATAACAATAGTAAAAAATTGTAGATCACAATGTAACTCGCTAACATCTTAAAAAAACTTTAAAAGATATGTATTTTTTAAAGAAAATAAAATAAAAAGTGTTACATTTTTTATAAACAAATATATCATATTCGTTTAAGAAATATTTTACTCTAGAATATTTAATTTGCATGTAATTTAATAATTTTTTTTAAATCGTGGCAATGAAAAATGAAAATCATTAAAAATAATTTAAAATAAGTTTTTTCTATTTTATTCAAATCGTTAAAATGATGTGTCATACATATCACCTCATTGAAGCCACGAAAGCCAAAAGAGTAAGGGGTTATCGGTTTAAAATGTAACAGATTATCCATTAATATAATGAGTAGATTTTTAAAATACATTGTTATAATAAAAAAATAAACTAAAAATATTATAATAAAAAAATTTATGAAAGTAATTTACTATTTCTTACATTTAACTAATTGGTAAAAACATAAAATGTCGATAAAATTTCAATTTAAATATAGATTAAAAATTTAAATAATAGTGTAACTAGTTGTGTACCCGTGCAATAAGGCGGGAGCCATGAATTTTAACGATTTTGAAGTTCCACTGGTTTTATAAGATAAGATTTAACGATGATAATAGGTTACACTTGATCTTTACATATTAATACAATTTGAATAAATAAGAGTTATGGTTCCAATTACAGACTATCGATGAAAAAAATTGTATGACAATTTAAAATCCAATATATTTAAAATCGAACATATTTAAACGACTCCATAAATGTGTTCGATTTACACCAAGAGCAAAGAACCAAGAAACTTGAGTTTTAAGATAAACACTCAAAATCAATAAAGAAAACTACAAATTTGACAAATCATAAGCTATGAAAAGACCAAAAAAGATAGGTTTTTGAATGAAATTTCAACTGCTTACCCTCTTTTCTGTCCAGAAACTCAGATTAAGGTTGAATTAATACATGTATATATATATTTCAAAAAAACCCAAGAACATATTAATTCAGAACATATTATACAGTGCAATTTGGACAGCCTAACCCCAAAATATATAGTATATATATAAAAAAATAACTATAAAAATATAAATCGTAAATATTAAAAATATTTTTTTCACAGTATATATAATATATAATAATATAATTAAGTCAAAAACTATTCACTCATTTCGAAGATATTAACGAGACGATTATAATAGTGTAACTTGTTAAAATAAGAATATATTTTTTAAATATGTTTTAATTGATATACGATTATATATGTTAATTTGATAAAGATTTAAAATGAAACATTTAAAAATAAAGGACGTAAAGTAAATTAATTAATTAATTATAGGGGTATAAAGTGTAAATTTAAAATTATAATTTAAAAAAAATGGGTTGTGAGAAGGTGAATGTATGTAAGAGGGTGAGTGTATGTAAGGAGAGAAGGGGGTGAAAAAGTGACATAAAAATAGTATAAAATGTATTTTGATTATTTAGTATTTTAAAATTTTTGCTAAATTTGCTTAATAAAATAATATAGATAAAAGATCTAAACGGCTTATTCGACATAAAAATCCAAAACAATGGCTGGTATTGGACCGACTTGGCTTGGCTTGGCTCGGTTCGGCTTCCAGGCTTGCCCTCTTTCCAATCTCTCGTTTTCTTCTTCATCATATGTCTCTCCACCATCAAATGCACATATGCATACGTACTGTATGCTATGCACATGGACCTCCTTGCCGTGGCCACACACACACCCCTGATGTCTATCTTCTTCTTCTCCGTACGGTAACTCATTGTCACGAATAATATCCTGCGGCTCTGATTTCATCTCCTTCTTCCGATACATCACTTTATAATTCATCATTATTTGCTCAATTCTCTATGCGAATCTTCTGAAGCGTCGTTAATATCACCGGTAAGTTTGATTTCGAAGTCGGATCTGTTGGTCTATCTTTAACGTAGAATAATATGTGTATGATTATTGCTAGTATGAAATTGTGTAAGATTTCGACTGTTTTTCTATGTTTCTACGATTGTTTGTAGCTCTAGGGTTGGTTTGTGGACTTTTTTCATTTCAATTTTGTGCCGTTATCTCTAATCAATTAGTTTTATGCAAAGACTTGGGAGGAAAACTTCTAACTTCTAAGAATGGTGGATGTATATGATAGGGTTTTGAGAGGTTGAGGTGATGAAGCTTCGTAAAACTATAGTTCTTTTTAAGAAATGGTTGTAGGGAAGTGAGCTAGGGTTTGGTAGGGTGGTATTCGAGGTTGGGAGTTTGAATTGGATCTTGCTGTGAATTCCAATCGCAAGCTATCTAAGACCTTAAGGAACTTGATGAATCAAATCAAATACAGGCTAAGGTTGTGAAGGTTTGTTTACTTATGCAAACATTGGAGCTACACATATTTGCTAAATTTTGGTTTATGGTAACCTAGGGTCTTGATTGTAGCTTTAACAACGTGCTTGGTAACCATAAACTAGCTTATTTTTTGAGCTTATTAAAAAATACCGTTTGGTTAGACATAAGCTAGTGTTTTGAAAAGCCTGTAGCATTTCAATAAGCTTCATGGGGTTTTTTGACACTTTTTAACATGTTTTTGGGTCATTTTTTACATTTTCATCTAGCTTAACAACAAGTTTTCGTCAAACATGGCAAGCTTTCCAACTATCAACTAGCTTATTAGCTAACAACTAGCTTTTCAGCTCACAGATAGACTTAGCTAACAACTAGCTTATTGGCTAGTTTGCAAAACATAGCTCAACTGTTGTGAGATAGTTATCATGGTTGCAAGCTTTGAGCTTATGTACCATACAAACCTTCATTTGCTTCGCATCGAGGATGTAGTTTCCGAAGTTGGTGTTAACTTTTCTCTTTTCTTGAATATTTCTATCCTAGGCAGATAAGGTCTGAATTGCCAGCTTAAAAGGGACATTTCTGCAAGTTATACTTAAGTTCTTGTCAGATTCGGAAGGTGATATTGGTGATATTTGGACACCATATTATATCAAGTTGCAAGTTCCAATCATCATGCCTGAGCGTGAAGCAAGATCACTACATGTTAACAATGGGAAATCCGTGCAGCCTGTAAATCCTCACCAATCTGCGTGGTTGACGCATTGGACAGGAACACGATTTGAATCGACCACACATGATCATTTAACTCAGCTTGGTAGAAGCGAAGTAGATGATCAAGATATCAAGAAACACCTGCCAGGAATCGAAATAGCATCTGATAATTTTGGATCTTCTAAAGGCATCAGAGATGTGGATTTGGCAATGAGTTTAAAGAAACCCGGTAGTCAATCGTTTCCATTTTTCAAGCGTGGTCAGGAAAGTGGGAGAAGTTCCATATCGAATGAAGGTGGAGAAACTAGAGGAGGGCAAGCATTAGAATCTCAAGTTTCTTTAAAGAAGTTGACGACCACTTTGAATGCAGAAACGTCGTCAAGAGAATGCCATTTTCAACCGGAAAGTGTATCACAGATTCCTATAGAGCAGGTGAAATATCACATGTTTTTTGGCGATGGCAGCTACTCTGGCTCAAGGCTTTCCAAGGAGAAGTTTGCTAACAGCCACACAACCCATGGACCGGAAAATTTCCGCCAGCTGACGTCAGCCTTTGCGTCCAAAGAGCACTTGCCTGAAACTAATTTCTTGGAACAACAACACCCAAGTTATTGCAGTCACTCTGCTGCTTTGGTTGGCGAGCGAAATTTGAATAACTTCCCAAAACACGAAAAGTCCGAGATGCCGCCTTTTTTAAGACAGAACAAAGCAGCCGTTATGAAGAATGACCCTTCTACAAGCCGTTCACCAGCGTTTATTGAAGAACAGTACAAGAGGATGCAAAAACATATCGGAATGGGATTCTTTCCACATCAAACGGGTACCTCAGAAACGACCAAATCAGGGAGACCATGCTCATTTCAAGATGTTCCTCAATTTATTCATGATGTGGAGATGGCAAGGATGAGTGCCCCTCTAAGCTCTGTACAGGGATTAGCAGGTGGTCTTCACAGTTTTTCTAGAACAACTCACAGTTTATTAATCACGAAGCAGACAGATGGTAAATTGTATCAAGAAAACCAGATCTTTAGAGAGTCCACGGTATCCAGCCAACTTAAAGGAGATGGTCTCAGGGAGCTTAATTGCATCCCTCCACTCGTTACTCATGGTCAACGAGGAGTAAAGCTTCAACTGTTAGATTCATCAGATCACGAATCACAGGAAAACGTTGAAGACGTAAAAGCTGTTGGAGAAGTTCAGAAAAATGAGTCATCAGCTGATACCGATGCCATGGACATGGAATCTTTTAAGGAGAATTGCGTTTCTGGTAAAAAATTTGTTGATGCATGTATGTACTAGTATCGATTGTTGTATAATTTGACTTCTGCCATCAGTTAACTTACAATTTCTAATCCATTGTTTCAGGTGTACATTTGATCTCACCGAACAAGGTATCTTTGCTGTACCTTCAGTTCTCTTTTGCTTTTTATAGGTTTGCTTAAATTTCTAGGTGTCAATCTGGGTAGATCAATTTTTAGGTGAAGTCTATATTATCAGATTAACAGTTAAGGGGCTGTTTACCCAAATGCTTACCCGGTAAGCGCTTACCAATAGGAGTCAACACTATAACTTATTTTGATGCGTAAGATTTTAGTACATCAAAACATATCGAATGCAACAATTTACTGGGTAAGCGTTTACCTGGGTAAGAGTCGTCATCCTCACTTACCGGGTAAGACTCTTCATCCTTCTCATCGCTCTTGCCTGGTAAGATTCTTGGCCCTTCTCATGTTTATCGATGAATTTATGCGTTAAGCACTTACCAAGTAAGTGTTTAATAAACTCCCCCTTCCTTGCTTGCTTCCTTTTCTACTTTTTCTGCTTTTTCATACCTTTCGGGAAAGATGAAGCAACATCGGTTTTTCAGAGCGTCTGCAAAGACTTTAACAGCTCCTCCGAAATGGAGAAAATGAGATTTTGGAGTTTTTATGTTCGTTGTTTATTTCAACTGCTTCTCCAAAACTTCAGAATGAAGGAGAAAGGGGGGGGGGGGGAAATAAAATGCTACACATTTGAAGATTCATCTAAAATAAAATGGACGAAGAGCGAAAATGACTTTTTTTATTATTCCAAGAAAAAAACCCCAACTTGCGGAAAGAAAATCAAATGGAGGAAGAGAGAATGATTTTTTTATTAATCTGGATATCCAATCCGTTATACGAACTGACTAATCCCAGGACGACCACCTGCTTTGCAAATAGTCCGGAGTCACCGTATTTGAACCTCCGTGGCCACAAGGGGATTTTTTTTCCTCCTTGGATTTGAACCTGGGACCTCCTGGTGCTTTTGACAGAATGGTTTTTTTGTATTATTAAATATTTTAATAATATAATTAATGTTGGAATCTTGAAAATAGAGAAACTGTCGGAGTTGAATCTATTATTTTGGAGATTTTGACTTTTGTTTCTCCATTTTGAATAAACTACGGGAAAATCTGTTGGAGATGCTCTTCTTGGTGGTGGGTTATAGAATAAACGCCCCGACAGCCAGACCCAACTCTGTGTGTATGTGTGTGTGTGTGTGTGTCTGGGAGGGGGTTATTATGGTCAAAGTAACATACATGTGAAAAAAAGTACCAGCAGTGAACTCATTACCTTAACTCTTCCTAACATTTCAGAACGTCATGATGGAGTCAAATTTACCCCTTCAATCTCCAGTTAACTTATCAACAGAGAAAGATACAGGCAAAAAGCTTATGATTGAACTACCCGATATAAACTTAGACCTTTCTGCTCTACCTGCTGCATCTATCTCAACCGAGAAACCCGAGCCGTGCTCCTCAAGAACTCAAAGTTTGGATATGAACACACTGCAATTCAATGTTGACCATTCAAGTAACTCAAAGTCGGATGAATGTTCAGATAGTAACCTGGGTTCAGAGCCAGGAAGCAGATGGATCAAGCGTCTCAAGTTAAGTGCTTCAAGTTCTCTTGCTCTCGGCACCAAAACCTCAAAATTGGCCGAAACATCATCTAACGGAAAACAGAACGAGTTCTTTACCAGAGTCGTGGAACACAATCCCAAACCCGTGTTGGATATACGCAATGGTAAAGATTCAGAATCTCTTAGCGGTAAATTCCAACTTAAAGAATCAGTTTTCCAGACAGGTGAATGCAGCACTAAAGAGCAACACCCTTCAATGGTGTCGTTAGAAACAAAGCGGGAGAACAAGGATATAACGCTTTCACATTCTTGGATTCAAAGATGGAGTCATACCCAGAATCAAAAGAATCAGAAAACCGTGGAGATTTGCAAGCCGGAGGAGAACTCCAAACCAGCACCGGAGGAGTTTGAGAAAAGGCAGTTTCCGAGCATCGCTGCAATGGCTCTAATGGGAAAGGCCATGACCGGTTTTCAACAGTGCAAGTTTCAGAAGAAGGAATCTTGTGTCGTTTGGAACACCAAGTCGTTTGAACAATGATAGATCGAATTTCAGTTTTGTTTGACGAGATTCTGTAGGCGTCGCCCTTGCCGGAATCGAGCATTTATCGGTAATCTATCTGCCTTTTCTTCGTTTCGGACTTGATTGTATCTACTTGATTCTGGCTTTTATTAGTGTGGGTGCTTTTATGAAATAACGAATTCTGTTTTCTGCTTGCATTTTGTTACAAAGATGCATACATGGTAAAGCTTCTATAGTACATGGTTTGCTTTTCTGTTTTGCAAGTACTATAGAAGCTTTATTACGGGCTGTTTCGGTTGTGGCTTGTTGGGCTGTATAGCCCATATAGCTTATTCGCTCAGCCATAAATGACTGTTCGGTTATGGCTTAATCTAGAAATCAAGAGCTTATTTGGACAGCTTAAGAAGGGCACTTGTCTACATTCAGCCAAACTTTTTATTTAAATACCCTTCTTTTAACAAACAATCTCATCCTCAATAACATCTAAAATCCCACCAACAATTAAAGATTTTAGATTTGAAAAAATACTAGGGCTAGATATTTTGGAGAATGAAATTGTTCTAATTTGGGTTTGATACGACTTGGTGAATTGTTTTTATTTAAAAAAAAATTCAAATTGATATTTTTTAACCATTCAGAGTCAAATATTCAACATTTTTATCAAACAAATGCTTTAATAGTCTTTAATATAGGTTGGTGTAAAATGGTCATTTCTGACATTCAAACTGTTTATTCAGTACAACAAACGAACAACAACTTATTTGTTAATATACAGACAACTATATCCATACAGGTCTTAACAGAAAACGAACCGAACAACCCCTACGTGTTCTGTATACATCCTCCCTAGACTCTCCTTTTGCATGTATGGTTTGATGCAATAGAATGAGTCATCGTAACCTATAAATTATTACTAGTGGTGGCACAATTTGACTGTAAAAAACAAAGCTATGGATCTTCTTTACAAAATCATCATTGATCTGATGATTAGTTTTATGCTTTTTGTATATGAGGTCTTGTGTTCGAATCTTTTATCTCAAATCTTTTAGGAAACATAATAAGCCCGAAATTAAAAGTTAAAAACTAAGAAAATGACACAAATGAAATTCAAACCAGGGGCTAGAAGGGGAAAAAGCTATGCAAACCAACTCTCTACCAAGAAAAATTTGTGTTAATGTCGTAGTTTCAAGAAAATATATGGTTGCGTCCATCAAAATAATACGGAGGAACGAAGTAGTAACCCGTGCCATCTTATACACCATAGTGGGTTCTCCCCTAGGACAATATGATATAACCCGACGATATTGTGGATATCAGAGTGATATTTTGTTTGTACCCGACAACGTTTGGTTGTGCATCTCTGTTTACCGGTTTAATGGTATACATCATAATAATTTTATAACCGTATTGTTTACTGTTTTTTCAAGTGTTCTAAAATAACACGACGATTGCATTGTGGGATTGTAAACAAACGATATTAAAATTCGAAATTTTGGAGGGCGTTTTCATATTAATTCAAAATTTTAATTCCATAATTGAACGAAGTAACAACAATTTCTTGGTCTTGTCAGTTATAACAAAAGTCAGATGGTAAAATTTCTAGTGCGAGTTTGAGACATTACGAGAAGTTTAGGGGGTGAAAGTAACAATTCTCATGAATTGTAGGTGCAAATTGGTAATTTTAAAAAAAGTTTAACAATTCCGTTGCCGGGACTTGAACCCGGGTCTTTCGGGTGAGAGCCGAATATCCTGACCAACTAGACTACAACGGATTTTGGTTTTTCTTTTAATTTAAATATATATAAATCCATGTCTCAACATTTAAATTTAATTTAAATTAATAGAAAATTCGTTTTTAATTAAACAAAAGTTGATACCGACTACCCTAATACGGTCCGTATATAACCCACATTCAAAGACATCAATGTGATGGAACATTTTTTTTAACTCACTCAACGGTTGAGATTAGCGAGTGGGGGTCGGGATTAAACCCATATGATCTGTTTTGTATTTAAGTAAAGTGACATAACCCTTCTGTCAATTGAACTAGGGATGTAAACAAGTCAAGTCGAGTATCACGTTATCAAGCTCGGCTCGAAAAAAATAATATCAAGCTTGACTCGAGCTCGATCAACTTTTTCAAAGTCGGGCTTGAGCTTGAATATTTTTTCGATGTTTGAGCTCCAGCTCAATGCTCGTTTATGTGCTCAAATTCGAGATTAATTAACTTGTTTATTTACTCAAACTCGATGAGTGAAAAAAAAAAATGTATGCTCGAATGCTCGATTTGGTTCTACTCAATTCGTAGAGTTTAATAGAGCTTTCGAATAAGTCGAGTCAAATATTATCGTTATAGAACACGACTCGTTAAATCAAACAAACTTTGTTTTTGTGTTGGAAATCGACTCAAACTCGTTAATTATTAAACTCGAGCTTAAATAACTTGTTAAAAGCTCGATATCATTTACACCAGTTTATAAAATAATTTGAAAAAAAGGGAAAAATTCATGTGTTGCAACGACTTCTGTGCACCCTTGGGAATTTCGTCATGTTAATATTCATTCTTGGGAATTAAATTCATCTGCTCAATTTCCAATGATCCCATCAGATCCAAGATCTTAAATTAATTAAAAGATAAATTACATAAAAAATTAAAATACTTTAATTTGATTTCTATTTTAGATAATGTATTTTTAAAACTTTTATTTTGGTATCTAAGATGTAAAGTTTTAAACACTTAAGTACCCGGGTAACCTGTTGAAATATTAACCGGTTACCATGCTAATGTGGCGAGTGATGTGATATCCAAATCAGTATTATTTGCTGAAGCATTAACCGGATACCACATCACTCGCCACATCTGCATGATAACCGGTTAATGCTTCAACTGGTTACCAGGATATTTAAATATTTAAAACTTTACATCTTAGGTACCAAACTGGAAGTTTTGAAAGTCTGTTACTCAAAATAGGAATCAAGTTAAACTACGTTACTTTTTCATGCAATTTGCTCTGAATATTACTATCTCTGTAATATCCAGATCCGTAATCTGCTGATGTGACGAGTGATGTGGTATGCAATTTCCAGTAACATTTTTGTTGTTGTTTACCTAATTGTGGACCTGATTTCTACAGACAGAGTGCTATTTCGTGATTCTTGAAAAGAAATGGTTAAGAGATGAAACCATGTAATTAAAATGATTATTTAATTTAATTTCTTTATAACTATTATAATTTATAATTGTTTAATTATTATTAGTCATATTTAATTTTTTTTGTTAATTATTTAATATTAATAGTAATTGTTACAAGTCAATTTAATAATTTTACCTTGTTAATTATTATTTTTAAGCATTAGAGATTATTTTTGATAAAAAATAATGTTTATTATTATTTATTATTTTTAATTATTTGATTATTATTATTACATAGGATTTGTAAACGGTAAAATTGATTTAAGTTTTTTTTTTAATTTAAAATCTCTCCGGTTGGTTTCATGTAGCTTTTTAATTGTTCCTACATTTATCTTCTAACACTTTCTCCATTTTTAATTTAAAATCTCTTTGTCGATGTTATAATACGATTTTATGTGTTTTCAAGAAAGCAATAATGATTTTATTTTTGAATAAAATATAAATTTAAAGATATCATAAAAATTTATATCAAATCAACTATTTAAAAGTTTTCATTTTTATGTCATTTCTTTATTTTTTTTGTTATAATTTAATTTAAGTTTAATAATAAAATATTTTTGGTTTAATAATATAACATTTTATAACAATAATAGTTAAGTATTCTGTTAAACTCAATAATTATCCTAATTATATTTTAGATTTTTTATATTTAAAATGAGATGTTTATCCTGTATTTGATTATATTTATCTGCAGTTAGTTACACAAATTCAGATATGAAATTTTAATAAGTTGTACTTACGCACAATTTACTTGTAATCTTGAGTTTTAAATAATAGACATTAATAAACAGTATTTTACGCATAAAAAAATATTTTTAAAAGTTTTGTCAAATACTTTATAATATAGTATAGAACTATATAAATTATATTATTAAAATATTCAATATATTTTATAAAAAATTCAAAATGTTATCAAAATTAATTAATAATCACTAAATAAAATATCAATATTATATATTAATTTATTAAAAATTAAATAGATACACCATTTTTGTCATAAACATATAATACAAGAAAAAAGGGGCACTTTACATGGCTACAATCATTAAAACGCCCCACCCAACCCCGCCCCACCCCTAAAACCCCTAGGGTTCAATCCAAGAACCCAATGGTGCAACCCACTTGGTCTTGTGGTCACATGGCATGTACTCTCTGCATCACCACTTGTACCTTACCCCAATTCATATAACAATCCCATCACTGATTGTAGCCTTCTCCAATATGACTGTGATCCCTGATCTTATGTAGAATCCTTCACCACCTCTATCACTTTCTTCAACCCCCTGCAAACATTTTAACCGTTAGATTTGAACTCACAACCTAAACTCGCCGACCGACGGTCTAGATTCGACCGTGAACTATAAGATAAGGTTTTCGCTTACGTCTTTATTCATGATGGTCACGTTGCTTCCGATCTTTGCGTTTTTGTCTATGATGCAGTTTCTGCAACGAAAATCGGAAAGTTAGCAGACCCAAGATTTTATATGGTGTTTTTGGGTGCGTTTGATAAGCAGACGTAGACAAGGGAGAGGGATAGGTGTTGAAAAAACAGCGGAGGGTTTTAGGGTTTTAATTTGACATGAGTGGTTTAGTAATTTACCAATCTTGTCCATCTTCACCTATTTTATTAAAGCATCTCCAAAATGGAGAATCTGTTGAAGTTGAATGTATTTTTATTTTAGAGATTTTGAAGTTCCATTCTCCATTTCGGAGAATTTTTGTTACAAATGCTCTTAAAATGCATTTTTGTCGCACCCGGTTCGTTTTTTTTTTCCAAACCTAAGACAACAAGTTTGGTTTGTAGTTGCCAAAGGGTCTTTGGTCTAGCGGTATCGTAGCCCTTGGCCTTCTAGGAGGTCAGCGGTTCAAACCTCACCATAGGTGAGGAGGGTGTGTGAGTTTATTTGTTTGGTTTGTAGTTTTGGTAATGTACCTGATCTTTGTGTTACTTCCGATACCGATCGGGACCTTCCCGTCGGCTAACAAAGAAGCGATCTCGGACTCTGTCTGGTAATAATCTGCCCCCAACATTAGCGTATCCTGTCATGGATCGTAATCAAGAAAATGTCGCTTTTGTTTAGTGATCGCTGATCGGAATGGAGAAGTTATGATAGTAATATACGAAGGTCCATTATCATGCTACGCGCACCTTGAGTTCGACACCCGAGTCTAAACGTGAGCGTTCACCCACTATCGAGTGTTCGATGCTGCATTCTCTCAAGAAACAACCGTGCGAAATAATTGCATTTTTGATCTGGAAAATCAGGGACGGAAGTAAGAAATTTGAGCTAACCATTACGGCCAAGAAATGGCACGGGTGCAAGTTCAAACCACAGAAACAATCCATTTAGTTTGTGGTTCGGTTTCGGTTCGACAAAGTTGAAAATTAGTCAGTTTGACACCCGAGTACGAGTTTTACCTTGCTTTTTTCGATCTTGGTTGGTGGCAAGAACCTCGGAGAAGTGAAAAACGGAGTCTTCGGATCGTAAAACTGAAACTTCGGTACCTTCAAACAACATCAAACCAAAGCCGACTTCAATCGAACGTACATCATATTGTTTTATGCGTATTGAACGAACAAACAAAACGTTCACGACTAAATCACCTCATCTGTAAGCGCCAAGTTCGCATCATAGAACGACTTGATCGTTCCAATATCTTCCCAGTAATCTCTGAATAAGTACGCCTGCCACGATCATCAAAATCATGTAAAACGGAAGTAACGCCCCTTAGCTCAAAACGAGCACGACTTATTTACTTACTTGCATGTTATGCTCAGTCACGGCAGCTGGAAGGATTTCGGACCCGAAGTCGTTAGATGTCGGGTATCTCCATCTTAGAAGCTTCAACAGAATATCTCTTTTGAAAACGTAGACCCCCATCGATGCAATATACGGCGATTCTTCAGCCTCTTTTGGTGATAATCCAAGTAGACTCGTATCAACTCGCTGCATAACAGAAAAGTAATCAAGAAAACGAGTTCCAAACCACGAGTGTTTCTTGTTTATATCGGATGATGTCGGCTCACCATTGCTTGCAAATCATCGCCTTTTGGTTTTTCAGCAAATTGGATGACTTGACCCTTGCTATCGAACTTCAATAGTCCAAAATCCGGTGCTCGGCTGAAAATTCACGACACCCCATTTCAGATCTGATAGAAGAGAAACGAAAAATAAAACGATAAAGAGTACAAACAACCGGACCTTTCGCCCACGGGCACGCAAGAAACTGTAATATCGGCATCTCTGTCGATGTGATTCTGTTCGTACATTTCAAACAATAAGCAGAATTAGACCATGTTTGGTGAATCGGTTGATAAACTAGTTGTTGGCTGATAAACTAGTCATGTTTGGTAAAAACTATCTGACAAGCAGCTTTTGAAATGACCTAAAAGAGCATGTTTGAAAAATTCATTTGAATAGGGACATAATTGGAAAAAAGTGAAAAAAGAGTCTATTGGAGCTTATTGAAACGCTACTTAAAGCAACTTTTCAAAAAGCTAACTTATGGCTAACCAAACGAGGCTTTTTCAATAAGATACAAAATAAGCATAGATACCTGCAAAAGGTTCAGATAGTCCATTCGGTAAAGATGATCACCCGACAAGATCAGTATATCCTCGATATCCTTGTTCTTGGCATCCTAACGAAACATTAGTTACCGAAAATTAAGATTTGAGAGTATATTCCATCAAGAACATGAAATTAACGCACAAAACGAACCTCAAAAACCCATGTAAATTGCCTCACGGCGTCTGCAGTTCCTTGAAACCAATTCATTCCCGCTTCACCGGGTGTTTGAGTGGCAGCCAACACCTGTCGAACAAAAGCAGATGATATTGAGATGCAGAATCACATATTTTGTTAACAAGTCTCTCGGAAAGCAACACGACTTAAAACCTTAAGGGTGCGTTTGGTACACGAACCGAACTGAACAGGACCAGACGGGCGATAGTGAGGTAGGCACGTGAACAAATTATCAAGTTTATAGGGTTTTAATTTGACATGGGTAGTTTAGTAATTTACCAATCTTGGTGGAACAGAAAAAGAATGCATTGTTTGTTCCACTCAGCCCTGTCCTATCCTAGTCTAATGCCATGCCAAACGGGGGACCAGAAGTTTTTGTACAGTCATGTCCCGTATACCAAATGCATCCTTAACGCGTATAAAATTTAGAACATACGGATCCTATTCAAGATCGATGAGGTCAAAAGTGTCGTACCTCCACGAAACCATCCCCAAAGTTCACACCGTTGCCAAAATAGGTACGAGCAATGTGACGATTAAGTGAAGCGGAGTTGAACTGCGTTAGAACGAAGATCTTGTTTATGGTGCTGTTTATGCAATTGCTCATTGGGATGTCGATAAGCCTATAGCATCCTCCTACAGGTACCTGTACAAAACATACAATCGGAATCACGAAAATTATAAACTAATTTTTTTACGTCAATTAAAGACTTCCCTCTTCGACCCTCACAAGCCACTACAACAAAATCGGATTTATAGAACGCCAAATATGTCTAAATGTCTTAATAGATTACTTTATAAGACTTCAGTTTATAAGACCAAACAATTGTGCGTTCTATGTGAGAGCAAAAGGAAGGACCGAGAGAGTCTTACCCGTTAAGTGATGGCAATGACTTATCACGGTTAGCGCTTACCGGGTAAATTGTTACATACAATGCCGTATTGATGGACTAAAATATTACCCTGTGAGCAAGTATAGTGTTAAATTTTACCGGTTTGGTAAACGGCCCTCCTTAGACATAGTTAGCGTGCTATGAAACCGATTTTGTTGTAACTAGCCAACAATCCCGGGTCAACCAAAGTGATTCAAAATCGAAGATAAACGGATAGGATCGTATGAACCGATAGAGACATATTCTTACAGCCGGTGTTGCGGACTTGCTTGTAAGAGGGAAGAGTTGAGTTCCTGCACCACCACCCAGTATGATTGCAGCCACATTTTTCGGATTAACCCTCCGTCTCTCGAATCTTGGTGCAGCCAGTGTCTATAAATTCGAATTACATGAGTTTGTATGCAACTAAAGATCCAACAAACATATGAATCAGACTCAAATCTCAAAACAGAAACCAACAAATCCTCCATTAATCCAAACCCAAATCATCATTTCTTTGTTATTCATGCTCAAGAACATATTTCATCAAGAAATGGGTTGTTTGTTTACCTTTTAATAATTCCATCATCTGAATCGTTAAAGAGGTGAATCTTGTTTGGAAAAAAAAGTCTGCCTCTTAATGGTTCTAAAACCCTCTGAATGATTTTGTATCTTGGATCTCCCTTAACCATTAAAAAGCCCTAATTTCGTTGTACACAATTACCAAACAATTATATTTCATTTTGCACTATATCATAAAATATCATGAAAACCTCTTAATCATTCTGACCACTTAATCATTCTACACCAAACCATTCAGTAATTGCCAAACAGCCCTTATAGATGGATTCATTCAAAGGGTAAAGAATCTTGATGATTGATCTCAATTACATCTATCAAATCAACACAAATTACACTGAAAATTGAACAAAAACCATTCAAGATTATACAAAAAATGGAGTAAACAGGATTGAATCTGTACCTCAACCAAGGTCTCTTTGCCATTATCTGATGTGATAACAGAGAAAGCAACCCCAGGGTTTGTAATCTTGCTAACCCTCTTATGAAATTTCAAGCTTTTCTGCAAATGGTTAACCCAAACGCTGTCGTTTAGGCTCCCTCTGATCATACCCCCTTTCAAGAACCCTTGATCCACATTTCTTAAACCTCCATCAAACCCACTTAGTTTTGGCAAATGGGTATTGCCTTTCAATGTTGAACAACAGTAATCCATCTTTAAAACCCCCCAAAAAATTCACCAAATAATGATGATGAATGCAAATGAAACCCTAAATACAGAAAAACCCTGGTATAAAAATGGAGGTTCGGATAGCCACTAATCTAAGTAAACAAGTAAAGTATAGATGACATAAAGAGATTAAGTGTTACTCATAATCAAAGGTACCTCTTGTGATTTTAATATCACTTTTTTATTCTGTAAATGGGGTCAAATTGAAGCTTCCAATAAGGAAAAGCTTCTGGAAGAATCTTGAACAGGGGATGTTAGAAACAGTGAGTGAGATCAGATTATTGCATAAAATTAAAGAAGAAGAAGAAGAAGATGTGAATGATGAAAAAGATATGGTGATTATGGAAAAAAAAGAGCTGTGAATTCAAGATTTCTTTGTGGGAAATGCGTGAAGGGGGATGGTGAAGAGTGTAGATTTCTTGGCTTGTGAGCTCTGTCACGAGAAATCTGGTGTGGGTTTGCAGGTATATATATATATGTCTGCATTCTGTGTACGTAAAGTGTATATACACTGTGTGTATATATGTATGCATTCTGTGTGTGTACGTATATACACTCTATATACACGTATATACGAAAGATCTTGTGAGTATGAGTTAAAGTGAGAAGCGTAAGAAGAAATCTAGACCGTTGATCACTTTTTATATCACCTCCACTTTATGAATCGTGCTTAATTGATCTGATGCATCTGATTAAGGTTTATTTTCAATTAAGATTGATACAAATATTGGAGATCCCTCCTCACCGTAACTTACATTGTCATCAAAATCCAACCCATATAAATTATGTGTATGTATGTATGTATATAGAGTAAATATTAAAACGTGTGTAAATGGTGTTTATTGAAACACGGGTTCATACGAGTGCGTTTGGTATGCAGACTATATGGGATGGGACGAGACAAAAAAAAAATAGTTTCATATTTGGCATGCCATGGACAGAAAAAGCATTGGACTAGGTGAGACTATTTTTAATTTTAGTGAGACAAATCTTGAGATGTTTTGTTCCACCAAAAAAAGGTGGAACAACATGGGACAAACTACAAAATTACTTCTATACCCTCTCAAATAAACTAAACCTAAAACAATACATACCTGGCGATGTAAAGCCACGCGGGCAAGAGGAGAAACCCTCTCACCCTGATTTCAATAGGTTGCTTCAATCTTCTCGCCATGTCTTCCATCATCTCTTCCGGCTATATTCTTCAATCGATTGCTTCGATTGATAGGTACGGTTTCATTGATTGCTTCAATCTTTCTCACCCTGTTTTCCCCGTGTTTTCTTTTTGTAGTTATAGGTTCTATCCTTGAGGATCGATGTTTGGTTTTCGATTGGTGCCCATGGGCCATGGCTGGTTTCTTCATATATGAGTTTCAATCTGTGTAGTCTTTCAAGATATGTGTTGGAATATTTTTAAATTATGTATATTTTTTACAATTATTGTGTTACGTGTATATAAATTTAGAAAATAGTATAAATATCATACGTGTAATTATTTAAATACATTTTGGTTGATTTGTGTCATTTACGATCATTACTGATGCAAAATAACATTAAACAACATTTAGGGGCAATCTGGTCATTTTAGCAGTTTTGTCCAATGTTGTTTAGTCGTACCAAACATATGACAGATGATTTAGTTCTGTTCCTGTCCCGTCCCGTCCTGTTTTGTCATGTGATGTCCCGTCCTGTCTGCGTACCAAACGCTACCTACGTGAACCAAAGGGAAAAAATAAGGGAAAGTGTGTGAGAATATTTAGAATTCCATTAAATTACTTTTTAAAATAGCTTTTGAGAAAGGAAAAGCTCCAATATCCATATAACAATTCACCCGGTAAGCGCTAAGCGTGGTAAGAGTCGTGGCCATTACTTACCGGGTAAGACTCTCGGTTCGTGCCTTCGCTCTTACCATGTAAGATTCTTGGTTCTTGCCATGTTCATCCGGTAATGGAATGTGACCTTATACGTGCTTAACAGAGTAAGCATTTGGTAAACGGCCCTTAGTAATTAAAATTATTTTTATTTCATTTTATATTACGGTAATTATTTTGTGTCACCAGTAACAGAAATCTCTGAATCCTCCATTAAATTTGTGATTTAAAAAATATCCATTATGTTTTTTTAATAGTAATCAATCAAAAGACTCCAGTTTGATCTGATAATTTATGATGATCCGGTCCCCCAGGTGCCACTGCATCCTCACGACTCTTTCGTGGGACCAATTGCAAGATCCATTCGTACAATCGTCTGTTTCTTTGTTTAGTTTTTCTTTCCCGTTTTGTTCGTTCTTTGTCATTTCTTTTCTTGTCTGTTTGCAAGTTATTTTGTTAGTTTCTTCATGTTTACATCTTCTCCAATTACTGTACCATGTTTCATTTCTTATAACTGATGAAAGTCCATATTCAATTATCTTTCGGTCTCAACCGTTCACTGAGAAGTAAAAGATCAATTTTATTAAGCTTACAAAGCAAGATGTACGTTTTCATACAATATTGTTTATTACAACAAAAACAGTTAAATCGTATTGCTCATAAGCACATATCATCAGTAATTTTAAACAGTCTCACGTTCTTACTGATTGGGGTGAGGTATGCGTAAATTCTATCCCTCCTAAACCCCTGCTTTTGAATAATATATAATGAACCCGTTTGGTTTAATTCTGCTTTATAGTTATTTTTTTTATTAACCTGGATATCCAATCCGCTATGTGAGCCGATTAATCCCAAGACGACCACCTGCTTTGCAGATAGTCCGAAGTCACCGCATTTGAACCTTCGCGGCCACAAAGGGGATTTTTATTCCTCCTTAGATTTGAACCTGAGAACTGTTGGTACTTTTGACCTTTGGAGTCAAGCTCAAACCAATCAGATACTACTCTTATGATTAGTTAAATTTTATGTAATAGATGAGAGATCGTGTAAGAAACACTTTCGAGCCTTTAAAAGACATCATATGAGAATGAGAAGAGTACAATAAAAACCAATGGACTTTCTTGTTTGGAATGATTAAGTCCTTAGATTTTTTTTTGGAACAAATAAGTTTTTGGACATTCTAAAACATGTTAAATAAGTCCTTGGACAATTTTTTGGAACAAATAAGTCCTTGGACATTCCAAAACATGTTAAATAAGTCCTTGGACAATTTTTTGGAACAAATAAGTCCTTGGACATTTCAAAATATGTTAAATAAGTCATTGGACAATTTTTGGAACAAATAAGTCCTTGAACATTTCAAAAAATGTTAAATAAGTCATTGGACAATTTTTGGAACAAATAAGTCCTTGGACATTCCAAAAAATGTTAAATAACACATTGGACAATTTTTGGAACAAATAAGTCCTTGAACAATCCAAAACATGTTAAATAACTTCTTGAACTTTTATAAAACATGTTGGATACATTCTTATGACTTGT